GGCTGGCCCGAGAAGGTGAAGGTCATGTTGGAGCCCGAGTTGGCCGTGGAGCAGGGGATGAAGGCGACGCCCTCTTCTTGCTGGTAGACGGCGCCCACCATGGAGTAGATTGTCGTGGTCATGTCGTCGGGGAGATACGTGAGACTGGAACCCGAGTCGAGCAGGACGGCTAGGGCCATGTTTTCGTCCAACGTCTTTGAGCCGAGCGTCACCTTTGTCAGGGTGATGAGGAACTCGGCGTAGCTGCCAGACTCCTTCTGGATGGGTACGGTCTTGAGCTCGCCTTCGAAACGCTCCGTGTCGACTCCGCCGAAAAGAATGTTTCCCTGGCTCGCGTCCAGATCATTCAGCCACAAGCTGAAGGCGCTGGATTGGATGAGGCCCTGAGAGACCATCTTGGCGGGCAAGTTGTCGTAGGAGGCCAAACCGGCACGCCCAACCTGCACTTCGTTGACCTTGTATCCGACTCCTAGGATGCCTTGCGCGGATGAACTCGTGTAGCCGACACCGAACTGGAAGTCGGTCAAAGTAGATCCGCCAATGGTGAACTTATCCGTCACGTAATCTCCAGTCGCTCCCGAGCCGTCGACATAACTAATGTTGAACCAGCTTCCGACGTAGTTGTAGGTTGACGAATCGTTGGCCGAGTAGGTACCGGACACGGAGCATGGCGTGCCTTGACCTTTGCAAAGAGCCGAACTTGCAGTGTTAACCCAGAGATCACTACTTCCGGTGTCGAGGTGAAGTCGCATAGGCTGTGCTGGTGTTCCGAGAGAGCCGTTCACAAAATACAAAGTTTCCTTGGAAGTGTTAGAGATTGTACCGAAAAGACATCGTTTGTAGACCTACCAAATTGTCCAAAGTCGCTTGCACTGAACCTCTCTTCCTCAACATGTCCCTCTTGTTGCGTGTGTACGGTATTGTCGCGCGGTGCAGGTCCAATCCAACCACCCTTGGTGCGCTGCTTTCGCTCTTTCTGAGTACGAGTCCCTCCGTGGGTAGTAGTGAAGCCGCGAGGGCAATTAATGTTGTTGACTTCATCTTGAGTCTGTGTTTGTGTTTGTACAGCGAGTTGTACGACTCTGAATTAGATCGATATCCAAGCTGTGAGTGTCGACCGGCCGCCAAGACAAGGGTGCCGGAAGGATGTAGATATAAGAGAATGGCGTCGTGCTATGAAGTCATTGATGGCGCAACACGGACGGTAGAGAAGAAAACTAGAAGGATGAGAAAAATATAGTCGGTTGCGAAATTCCGGAGTTCGGTGAAGGCGACTGCTCGCGGGGGGGAGTGGGCTCGGTATACGGCACGGTGGGGAGAGGATTCGTCACCCGTGATGGTGGCGGAGCTTGCGTTGCTGATGAAGACGAATTGGGGGCGGCGGGAGTGGTGAGCTGGCACCGGACCACCAAACCAGACTAGAGAGACAGGAAGGCGAAGGCAAAGGCCTTTTTTCTTTCCTTTCCGTTTTGCTTTCGGCGCAACGCGTAAACGTAGTGAGTGGGAAAATCCGGCGATCCGGAGGAGTTAAGAAAGTGAAAGTAGACTCGGAGTGTCTAGTGGTTAATACTAACTCGTGTAGGTGGTGGTCTTTGGATGAGTAAGTTGCAGTAGAGAGCAAGGCACGAGCAGGATAGTCCAATGCAATGGAAGCACAGAGGAAGCCAAAAGAGCAGAAGCAGAGCCAAAAAGTGCGGTTGGACGAGAAAAGCAAGTCAAAAGATGAGATGCAAGTCTTTCTTTGTACCAAAAGTCAAAATTCTGGTCCCCCTCTGTTCTTGGAATAGAAACAGCAACAGCGCGGACCATGGGCAAGGCGGGAACTGACACTGCCAAGCGCCACAGTCTCGTCCAAAAGGTCTCACCCAGTCGCAGACTTGACCTCGTCGTCATGCTCGGCGGGGCACTGGACGGGTTGACGGGGGGTTGCGGACAGGGTCCGGGGTTGAGCGTGTTTGGACGAGGCCGGGAGTAGCGAGTTGCTCCTCAAGAGAGACTCAGACAGAGAGACTGAGAGACTTACAGCGTACTCCGTAAAGAGAGACCACTTGGTCACGCTTACAGCGGAAGGCTTAGAAGGGTGAGAAGGAAGGGATGTTGACGGACGGAGCAGCGAATTGGTGCAAGATGGTTGGACAAGAAAGGGGAAGGCCGAACGGTCTCCAGACTTGCCAGCCCGGGACGACCCCGGGTCAAACCTTCTCACCGACAGGGTTGGGGGGTATTGGAATCACAGGTATCACAAGTATCACAGACTCTCACGCACCAGTCACCACTGCCACTGGTAACGGGAAGGGAAGGAAGGGTAGGGGAAAGGGAAGGGAGGCTAGCGAGTGGTGAGAGCCATGTCAGGCGGAGTCGAAAAAGACGCGTGGCCGTGCTTGCATCTTGCCCTTCTAAGCATCCCGTCCCCTTTATTTTGCGGTGCTCTGCCCTTTTTTCTGCAGTTTGCGTGGGCCGGTAGCCGTAGGTCCGTAGCCTGTAAGGAAAGACAACCCAGCCCCCCTTGCTCCCACATTCCCTCTCTCTCACACAGTCTACGGTAGTATGGACAGTGAGAGTCACACTTGCGCTCTGAGTACTCGGAGAAGGAAGAGCGCGCAATAGTCGTGTGAGTGTCTTCCGCACCGCGGCTGCGCAAAAGAAGAGGGCGGTGCGGGTTGCGGTTGCGGTCGTGCGGTTGCGCTGCAGCAGCTGGGCAGGGGTAAAAATGGCTGCATGTGAAACGCGAGCATCAATGTAACCCCCGACCAACAGCGAACCCTTTTCTGTCTCAGCTAGCGGAATATCAGACACGTTGGATTCTGGAACCAACATCGCTACGGGCTCACGGAGTACCTCTCTCTACCTTGTAGGCTTCTCACCAACGCTCTGGTCAGCCAGGCGCCCTCGCTGCCACACCCGACCTACGGATATGACTTGCGACTCGAGGCCAGCCGAGGAGGTGTTCTTCGTCGCGTTCCCTGATAAAATCAGACATCCTCTCGGTCCGAGCCAGCATGGGGTAAGACGACGAACGCAGCAAGACACAAAAAAGAACTGTAACCTCTAAAATTGGTGATACTCGACACTCGACACCTACACCTCCTTCATACCTTTACCCTTCATCCAGGTCTCACGATACAGAACAAGTGCTGGCACCGGCAACACGGTGCCGCCAGAGCCGCATCACTGATCAGTCCTCTAGAAAAGACTCCTGCTTGCGTCTCTTGACGTCGGAGATCGTAGCATCACCAGCGCATGTTCGCTCATGGATTGCGCAACGCGCCAACGCGGTGAGGAATCATCTGCTTCATAATCTTCACTTTGGTCTAGCCGACAGACCCGATCGCGTTGATGCGTTCATCGCCACTCCGGGAATCCGGAAGAGCCCGTCCATCGAGCCTTGCCTTGCCTTGCCTTAGGCTCGAATCGTCAATCAGTCTCCCATGACGGTGTAATAAGGCAATGGCGGGAACGGGAATTCGAAAGGGAACGTAAATGAGCTAAAAAGGAAGTCCCCGTCATCCAACCACATGCGCTTCGCCGCTTCGTCCAAACGCTCCCTCTTCTCCCCCCCCCCCCCCCCCCCCCCCCCCCCCCCCCCCCCCCCCCCCCCGGCGCGAGCGCGCCCCCCCCCCCCCCCCCCCCCCCCCCCCCCCCCCCCCCCCCACACTCCATACCGATGCCGAGATCCGATGGTCCGGGATGTGGCGCGCGAGCAGCGTCCGGGCCAAGAGCACCAAGTCCCGGCGCTACTGCAAAAGGTAGGCAAGACGTCCAAGAACTCCAAGACTCCAGGAGGCCGAAAGAAAATGAGGGATGACGAGGCCACCACGGGCCCGTCGGCCTCTCCAATTTGTCGTATTTCTCATGATTTCGTACGAGAAGTGGATTTGTTAGGTGGGCGTGTCCGCTTTTTCTCTACCGTCCGCGGGCCGAGTAAAAATAAGAACGGGATCCGTAAATAAGGTCAACCTTGAACCGTGGCATAGGAAAAGAAGGATACTACTCCGTATGTGAGTATGGAGTATTAGACTTCAAAGTGTCACTGTATCAGGACTCCAAAAACCCGCCTGACAGCACCGCTCTTGGTGCAGATCATGTGTAAGGACCCAGGTCATAGATTGAAGATGGGTGCGACCGCTCGTTCTTCAAAGTTCGCCCATCTATCTGGCACATCTGGCGCGCAAGAATCCCCCCTGACTCGCCCGCACTCTTTTTTCGTTTCCTCCCGAACGGGGATTGCCAGCCATTTGCTTCGAGGACGAATCATGAACTGGAGATCCCCCGAAAAGAAGCATCTCTGCGACGGTGCTCCCCACTTCCCCCTTGGACCGTGCACGGCATCCTGGAAAGTCACATGTATAATCACGTGGAATCTCTAAATCCGGATCACTGGCACCGGCCGGCTGGGGTGGGTCCCCGGCGCCGACCGCGCCGCTCCCGTCCGGCTCACCTCATCTTGTCGCCACCACGAACCAATCACGAGCATCCGCGGCCACCGCATCCTTCCAGTCAGCTCGTTGAAAGTAGGTCTCTCCATTGGTACATCATAACGGCTGAATGTGCACAGGGCCTGGAGTATCCGTAAGGCAGTCAGCATTCGTGCCACGCGTAGGGCTACCTCTCGCCCGACGCCGTACATGTAAGTACAAAAGATAAGATCGGATCGGAATTATCCCGTTCGTGACAAGCCACCGCGAATGGTGAGTGGTTCAACGAAGGAAAGTCAAAAGGTGTACCGCGAAATAGGTATGCCTCAAGCCTGGTTTACGTATTTTAGGCAACTAAGTCTAAGAGCTGTGCATGAGTGTAGTATGGCGACGAATGAAGTAGGCCTCCTCGATGCAACCAAACGTAGATGATATATAAGTTGTGATGCGTGACCATACGTTCTCCCGGTAAAACTACCCGTCATCTCATCAGATCTTGGAAAGCCCTCTAAGCATCAGATAAGCTTAAATCAACCAGAAAAGTCAATGCAATCCATCCTCACATCATCCGCCCCTGCCACCAGAATGGACGAAATCGTCTTTGCGAACCTGGACCGCTGGTGCGTACTACAGCCTCACCTTCCCTTTCCAACATCACAGATCCCGCGAAACTCGTAGCTAACGCACCTCATCCTCCAAGTCCATCATACTCCGTAAGTCATTCCCTCCAGCCTCGAAACCTCGTCTCCAAGCCCTCCTCTCCTCCTCTAACCACCACCAACAACTAGTCCTTCTTCGGCGCAATGGGCTGCATATCCGCCATAGTCTTCACGGTCCTCGGCTCCTCCTACGGCACCGCCAAATCCTCCGCCGCAATCTTCTCCGCGGGCGTCCTCCGCCCGGACCGCCTCATGCAAAACACCCTCTGCGCCATCATGGCCCAGATCCTCAGCATCTACGGCCTCGTCGCCGCCGTCATCATCGCGAACCGCCTCGTCGAGAAGCAGGCCCTGCACACGAGTTTCCTGCAGTTCGCCGCGGGGATAAGCGTCGGCCTGTGTGGGCTTGCGGCGGGGTTCGCGATCGGGATTGTTGGCGATGCTGGAGGTAACCGTTTCTCCTCTATCCCACTTCTCTCCTCAACCACTTCCCTTTCCCCCCCCTTTGTTGTTTACTCTGCGCTGTCGATGACACCTACGGCCTTCGGTCGAGGAACAAAGGGTCATAAGAGCAAGGTCGTAATGGTAACTAACACCCATTCAACAGTCAGAGCCACGAACCAACAACCGCGTCTATACACAGGCATGGTCCTAATCCTCATCTTCGCAGAGGTCCTAGGCCTCTACGGCCTCATCGTCTCCATCCTCCTGCTCTCGACTTCGCAAACGCAAGTCACCGACTGCTCAGGCTCCTGAAAAGAATCCCCTGCCTGTCTCTCCACCACAAATCCAAATCAAAGCCTTCAACACCAAAGCAAGACTTACGCTGTTGTCGAAACCGAGATATCGGGTTACAATACAATCAGAATCAATATAGTAGTCTTAAACCATGATATTCCGGGATGTACTCTGAACAAACTCTTGAATTTGAAAACGCCGGGTATTGCAGCCATTAAGACAACGCTTGCTCATGCAAGGTTCTTGTTTTTGCTATCATGTACAAAGATAAGAAGAGACCGCGGACGTCTACACCACAGAGGCCACCACACACCCACCCCCTTTAAATCCTCCATTCATTGAGGTTATCCTGTGGCGTCACAAATGGCTCATTAATCCTCTTAATGGCAAACTCGCTGCAAAGAATACTGCGTCATGTTAGCAATACGTCACTCGCAAATAGGCAACCCGTTGTAAACTCACCATGCTGATGCCACCAACGAGTCCAACTCCGTAATCATGGCCTCCCTCTTGGCACCATTCACCAGACCTTTACTAATCTGCACCTGCAGCTCGCGGATCCTCTTGCTCGTGCCGACCCCAGCCTGCTCCAGCACCCTCTTGCCCAGACAATCCGAGTGGAACGAGTGCTGGCAGGGAAAGACGAAAAACTGCCTGCTCAGCAACGGCAGCCCGCAGACGTAGCACTTCTCCCCGGGCTCGACAATGGCGTACCGGTGATCCAAGGCGGCGATGTCGACCTTGATATTCGTCGCCGTCTGTGACGACTCGTCCATCTCCTTCTTCAACGAGTCAATGTTGCGCCCGTAATCCTCGAGCGCCGTGCAAATCTCCTCCTTGAAGTCGTCAATGACGACGAAGTCCGGGAAAAAGGGGATGAGATCCTCAATCTTTAGCAAGTCGCACCGCTTCAAAAAGTCAATGGCCGTCTTGATGCCGTTGGACTGCGAAATGACCTTGCGCGCGACGGCGAGCCAGAGCTTCTTCCGCAGAGGCGGGTTGGACATGGGCCGGTCGGCAATCACAGACGCCAGCTCAACCTCGTTATGCGAGAGCGCCAGGTCGACGGCTTGCAGGTACTGACCCATGCTGGTGTAGATGTGGACGCAAGACAGCGTGCGGTGGTGCTGGATGCACAGGCGAAGGGCAAAATCCGGGTCGTAATTCGGCTCCTCGCCCTGCGATTCTAGATATGACAGCAAACCAGCTTCATCTTTGGAGGTTTGTGCATATATCGAAACAAGAGTGTTGTGTACTGCCGAATCCTTGGAGTTGAGCTGGTTGATGACATACTGCAGATACCTGACGGCCTGGTTCTGCTGAGGGGTGCCCTCGAAGTTGCGGTTATACTCCAGCAGCGCAGGAATCAGCTTGCGAGGCTTCAAGTCGGAATGGCGCATGAGGATCTCAACAAGGTCCGAAGCGACGTGCGTCATGAGCACAGTGCTGTACCGGTAGAACACCTCAGGATCCGTCTGCTTCTTCAGCACCGTCAGTACCTCGGGCCACCGCTCGCGCTGAACCCAGTACGACAGGACGTAGTTGTAGTCGTTGACGGCGTTGGCAAAGTGCAACAGCTCTTGCTCCCGACCGTGGCTGCTGATCACGTCGTACACTGTCCGCCGGTCGAGGTCAGACTTGTACTTGTTGACAAACTCCTGGAACTCGCCCTGGACAGCGTGGAGCTGCTCTCTCGACTGCGCCGGGTTGAGGCCGTCCGCTAGCTCGGCTTGCGTAATGATAGTGTCGTCTAGCGAGTTGAGCCTCGCCATGAAGATCTCTACCAGCCAACTCGCAATCATTATTCTTTGCATGACGGCCGCCTTCTTCGACGTGCTCAACTTCGCTAGTAAATATTTCCTCAGAGCGTCCGGCTCGTTGTTGTCGATAAAGGTAAGAGCCACCTCTTCAAATGGCTTATTGCTTCGTCCGTACACCGAGGCGGCCTCCATATATTGCCGCTTGGCAACGAGGTGGTCACCATATGAGGTCGCTACCGTCTCCCGTTGCGCGGGCGTCTTGGCATGCTGCAGCGCAGAGTCAAACTGTTGCAGCTTCAGCATGATTTGCCAGATATTGCGGTCCTCGTCCCTGACGACGACCTCGAAGATTTCCTGCGCAGTGAACATCCAGAATGTGTTCTTCTGCAGATCCACAGACAAGCTCACAGCCTTCTGGCCCGGGTCCAACACGATCTGGTCATAGACCACCTCTCCAGTCAGGCGATTCGTGGCTACCACGCGGCCTCCAATCAGGCTGACAATGTGCCACTGCGTCAGCGCAATCGCCTCGACGTAATCCGCCGTAGCTTTTCGCTTGCTTCCCGATCCGTCAGACGACGAACCAATCTTGTCCCGCGGGAGCATGCTCGACTCATTGAATATCTTTTTGCCCTCGGCGCTTGAGGCGAGCTGCCCGTGGAAGATACCCTGCGCAGAAAGCCACGCGTAGGCCCGTTCGTGCGCCTCGTCCTCGTACGGGTTCTGGTCAGGGGGATCCGGCGAGACGACCAGCGCAGACGTGGCGGCGGCCGAGGCGCGCGACAGCTCGTGAATGACGGGCTGCTCCGACTCAAACAGCTTCGTGTACACCGACCCTCCGCTGTCGTGGCCGCTGCCGACCTTGCCAGCCAAATGAAACAGCCGGCTCTGCGTCGCAATCATGACCCGCCGCATGTCCGGTCGTTTCGGCAACGTATCGGCCCAGAGTCCCGTGATCGGTCCATCCGGGAGCTTGTGCAGGTTCTTGAGCTTGATGTCCTTCTTATAGAACTCCGAGGTGGTCTCGATGGAGGCCTCGTAGATGTTGCCGTCGGCGGCACCGAGCAAAATCTCGCGGGTCGACGCCGTGGGCAGCGAGGGATTCCAGGCAACGCTCTCGATGGAGACGCCTCGCAGGCGGGCCAGGGCGCGCGGGTGCTTGTGTTGGGAGTGGAGGTAGTAGTTCTCGCCGAGCGCCGTGCAGACGAGGAGGTGGGAGGCGGTCGGATCGAGAAACATGCGGCGGATGACGCCGACTTCTGCCGGTTTCTTGGGGAGGTCAATGTCTGCGAATAGTCTCATGGTTAGCAACCCATTATTCGTAGGTAGCAAAGTACCGTCATTCCGTCCGACTGTAAAAACGCACCATCAATATCCTCGGGTCTATTAAGATCGATACGCAAGATACGTCCGTTGGATAACGCCAAAACTAAAACATTGTTCGCGACCTGGGCGGCGACAAAGTCGGCCGCGATGGAGAACTGCAGCTGGACTCGCTCGACGATGAACATGGGCAGCGCGGCGTCGTCCAGGTCGAGCACCCCGTTGCCGGCGGCGACGAAGCCGTCGGTGGGGTTCAAAGCCATGATTCGAAGGGGCGGCTACGTCGGGGTCATACGGGCATCGTCGCTGGGGATCGTGATTTCGCTTCGAGCGTTGGTGAGTGCGCCAGCTGCGGTTGCGCAAAGTGGACGACTCGTTGAAGGCTGGTGATTGTGTGTGTGGTCGCTGTTGTGTAGAGGATGGATGACATAGGCAGGGAGCTCGGCCGGCTCCCCACTGCAACCTGGGAACGGAGCTATGGCGGTACGTACTTCTGAAGCACCGAGCTCTCAAGTTCCTCAAGCTCGAGGTATTCAGTTGTGACATTTCACAACTTATTCGGCACCTCTGCGGCAATCCTCACTGGGAATTCTTCATCTCACCACATAGCTAAGCATATTGCAGCAAATAGAGAGCTTCGTCTTTTTTCATCTTAATTTCAATGACTATCCTTAATCTGCCTAGTAGCTAGGATATCTCTCGACCCCTTTGGTCTGCACATTGGTGCACCTCGAGTCCTCCTCGAACCTGCCATCCCCCATTTTGATACGAGTATCTTCAGTTGATCGCTTTGAAAGGCAAGGTACTTTTTCTCGACCCCGTCCGGTTTCCATAGAAGGTAAGGTAAAATAAGTAGGAGCTATGCAAGTTTGTTGATCGCTTTTAAATATGACCGGCCAAGCTCTTCTGCCGGTGTGAAAGTTGCGATGTATGCAAGTGAACATGAAGGTAATAGCGGTTGCTCTAATTTAGTTAGGCCCGGGCTGTTCGTCACCCGGATAGAGCAGAAAATTATTGCCTTCGCCTCACCAAGAAGGTGAAGGCGAGTAGGTCATTCGACAACTCAGACCGCCGTCTCAATGGCGGACTCGTCATCGTCATGGTGTCTGCTGCAAGCATCCTCACGCGCGGTATCATCCGTCTCATCCGCGTCGTCGTTAAAAATCGGGTACACCCTCGGCGGCGTGACCGCAGTCGTCGGCTTTCTTCCCACCAATACGCGCGCCTTGACGATGAGACCATGCGACTTGATCGGATCCCTCGCCAGGCGCGCCATCTCCCTCGCGACGTTGTGGCACGCCGTCTTTACGTGATCGGGCTCCCAGCCCATGTACTTTGTGAGCGGCCGCAGGCACTCGGCTTCCAGGCCGTCGATGCAGGCAATCAGCCACAGCTTGCCCTCGCTCGACTCGAGATTAATAGGTATAGTGTGCTCCGTCAGCTTGATATCGGTGAAGCCGGCATCCGTCAACAGCTTCGGGTTCATGTGCGCGACGCCTCTCGCCCGCCCGGCCTTGACGCCCGCCTGCGTCAGGTCTCTCGAGAGCTCGTGGATCTCGGACGTGGGAGGGAACTCTGAGAGGAACTTCTTGAAGCCCTGCTGGTCGTCCCAGTCCAGCAGCTCGATCCAGCCGCCGGGGCGGATGACCTTGAAGGCCTCCTTGTAGATAAAATTCCAGTCGAGGAAGGCGCCCATCATGTGGCGGAAGTGTACCAGGTCGAACGAGTTGAGCTCGCGCTCCCACTCGAGCTCGGCGTCGTCGACTTCGAAGAAGCAGTTCATCGGTATTGACGTGGGCGCTATGGCGGAAATGTCTGTGCCAATGACCTCGCAGTTGGGGAACTCGTCCGCCATGCCTATCGCCCACTCGCCAATGCCCGTGCCGACGTCTAGTATCCTCTGTGGGTTCTCCATCGGTACCGTGCTCAGCTTGCCGTCGAAAACGTGGAGATAGACTCTGTGGATTAAGCTCATGCGGCACATTTCCCACTCATCGTTTGGAAGGTGGTAGTGGGATCCGCAGTATCGACGACCGTTTTCCCACTGGTAGTCCAACTCTCGCTCCATGAATGACCTCGTTGACGACCTGCAGTAACCTCCTAGTCAGCCTTCGTCCGAACCGTCATCGCTTGGCGGGCTCTGCATAGGCGTAGAAAAAAAAAAGCAGCACACATCCCAGAAAATTACTCACATGTCTTGGTGATTTGGCGACGTCATGTAGGGCATCTCGGTGCGATGCGACTCGCTCGGTCGAGGGTAGTGACTCGGCGCAAACACAGAAAAATTATCGTCATCGTCAACCTCCATGCCCTCCTCCTCTTGCGAATTCCACTCCTCGTCGGCCTCGAGACCGGCCTGCGAACCATCTTCGGTGCTGCCCATGACGCTCGTCATCTCGGTGGCGGCGCTCCCGGTATCGCGCATGCCGCTCGACAGGCCGTCGCTCGAGTGGGAGGCGAGCTCGTCGGTGGTGGACATGCTGGACTCGGCGCCCTGCGCGGGGTCTGGTCGTGTGCTGGTTCCCTTGTTGCGCTTCTTGGTGCGCCGCTTCCTGGCCATGGGCGGCGGCGGCCGAGACCCGTCCCGTCCGTTTGTGCCACCCGGGAAGGGTCTGAGTTGGAAAGGGTCCCTATCGCGGTCTTTCTGTTCCTAGTCGGCGGCCCCGGAACGTCATGTCATGACCCGCGACGGGATGCCGGGGGGATGAGGTTGGTTGATTTTGTTTGGCGGCTGTGAGTAGAAAAGGAGAATGGGTTTCGTCGTTCTCGTCGAGGTTGATTAGGTAGCAGTAGAGGGCCAGTAAAGGGGGGCGGCGGAGTGGGTTCTCGCGGAAATCTCAAAGGACGGAAATAGAGGGCTGGCGATTTTGGTGCCAAATCCGGATGCTATCGGTCGGCCGATCGGTGGTCGCGATTGCGATTGCTCGGGCAGATTGTGGAAAGTGTGTTTTTGCTCCTTGGTGTAGACTTGAGAGAGAGAGAGAGAGGAACAAAAGAGAAAAGATGGTACGAGGCCGAGTGCGGTAAAGCGGGAGAAGATTGAAAGAAGGGGCCTCTCTTGGAAAGGAAGACGCGGGAGGGCGGGACTGGCAGAGAGACGATGGCTTAAGAAACTCCGTACGTAGTAGAGGCTTTCGAGGGGGGTACGAAGTAGTGGAAAGGACGTTCGTTTTGAGGATAATCAGGCGACGACGTGACTTGCCAGTCGGGTAGGATTAACACTGAAAGGGTATGGCTGCTCCGGGGAGGACGTCCTAGTGCGGGTGCCCTTGGCCAGTGCATTGCTCTAATCCTGTGCAGAAATCCTGACAGGTGCCGGGATCTCGCAACTTGCAAGGACGCTGGCGATGGGACCGGGACGACGAGGACGACGGACGAGGGGGGTGGGTGGGAACCGACGGGGCAAACGATCAAGGGTTCTTTTCACTGCTGAATTACCAACGGGCATTCATACATACATACATACAATGCATTACTGTACTCCGTAGACTGTCCGTCTCGTCAATCACTTGGACTGTGGACAGACACAGCGGCAGAAAGTGTGGGAGCTGCCGTGGAGATCGTTGCTTTACCTTAGCAATGGAACCTACTACGGAGAGTCTCTTGTTCCAAGAGTCCGACTGGCTTGGAACTAATACGGAGACACGAGCTTGGATACTCTACTGCACAGTAGCTGCGGGAGTGGACGAGGGCCATGTCGTTAAAACGGCATCTTAATGGACCCAGAGATGGTGGTGCGGGCTCGAGGTAAGGTATCATTTCGTTGCGTCTGGACCTCTTGCTCCAATTCTAGTACGCTTCTACGCCTACGTACTCCTACGCAGTATGCAGGACGCGAAAGACATGAGATTTCATTCGTACATTCGAGCCACCAAGCTCTTTGCATTGGTACGCTGGATATGCAAGGTCAGTGTGCTACATCAGGGTACACATTGTAGTCGTGAAGAAACACTGGGCACGTAAGGATTGTACTTGCAACCAACTGAGATTCCCAGCGGCTCACAGATTGGATAAATAGGGCTGCCTGCTATGCTCGAGGAGTCGACCAAATTATGATGGACCATCTGCCTCCTTCGTTTTCTTCCCCTCATCTAGAATGAAGTCTAGAAACGAGGACTGGTACGATGTCAGGGAACCGCCGGTACGGGCAGTCAGCACCTTACTGCACCTAAGCACTTGAGGTAGTAGACGGAGGCTGCAGGCAAGCTGCAATATACCCTCCACTGCCTACCTTGGCACCACTTCATCTCTTGACCTCTGAGAGTACGATACATGCTACTTCCTCCTCCCCATTGATAAGCAAAGCATACCAAACCCTTATGCGCATCCTTTAACCCAATTCCGGCTCCCACCCGCGATATTGTTCCCAACAGCATGGGACGGAAGTCTGGGCTCAAAGAAAAGGGAAAACCCACGCACAGGCACTCGTTCAGAACTCTCCATCGCCGCGGTGCGTCCAAGGACTCCCAGGCCCAAGGATGAGGGACAGCCCCCCCTCTCCGTGGCCCCCGCCGTTGGAACCTTGGAGGCTTGGGCTTAGACCCCACCGAACCACAACTTCAGAGCCCACAACCGCGCCTCGGGGGCTCTGTCTCTCCCTCCCAGGTCTCTCGCTGCCACTTCTGGTTGGCCCGGGTCTCGGGGATGAATGGGTCCGGGTCGTTGTGGATCAAGGTAGGTCGTCTCCCTCCCCCGGGGCCCCCGCCCACACCACACCTAATGTTGCCCTTACCCAGAAGCTCAAGCACGTCCAAGGGGGAAGAGGATGGGAACCCAAAGGGAAGAAAAGAGAGAAGAGAGAGAGGGGGTCAAGCGGTTCACGCGAATCAAGCCTCAAGGACCGTTGTCTAGCAGTTTTACAGGATCATTATCTATCTACGAGAATTATCCACCAAGAAAGCGGGAAATGTACTGTCCAGCCCTCACCCAGATTCCAATCTGTGCGATAAAGAGGGCTATTCCTCGGCCGTGACTTTCCTGTACCTTGCTATGTACTTGACGTTCGCTCCAACCTTCAGCCCACCAGCCCATCATGTTCCAATCGAATCCCAGATGGGACATCAATTCCCCTCCTTCGATAAAATTGAACAAGTCCGTACAAGGTGGGGTCCGGAGATGGACAAGAGCCCGATGGTTATCGCTCGTAGCTAGATAGGTATTTCAATATGCACCGGTGGCACCAGCAGCAAGCCGGAACAACGCAAGAAGGAGAGGTGAGCTATCTACTACTGCTGCACGGCATTACCAATCCTGCCAATCTAGGTAGGTTACACAAACCTCATGGAGCAGGTAGGTATCCATCCGTACCTCGAATTCAAAGAGAACAAGTTTGAATCCCTCCGCCTCCGAGAAGGCCGATCCCGAACCAACCAAAGTTGAATGACCGGGGTGTAAATCCATCTCGAACCATTCGCGCGGTACCTTACCTTGCCTTGCCCTCCTTCCCTTGACGACCTCCCAAGAGGAGAAGAGAGGGGAGAGCGGAGTAATCGTACCGTTCATAGGGGTCGAGACCTTTTCCCTTGTGTCTCTCGACCACTCTGTCCGTACAGATGGTCCATTGACCATCTAACAGTGACATCAGGACCTAAGAAAGAAAGGGGGAAAATAATAAGAACAGCAGTCACAAGAAACATGTGGAAATGGGAGAAAGAAGGATAACTTCCCGGGCCATTAGGCTGGTTTGCTCAAGTTTTGAATACCCTAAAAACAATCAAAGGAACCCAGCAACAAATCCCCCTGCATCTGCATGTCAGAAAGAGAGAATGAAAAACACGTGGTCCAGCCCCCTCCTCCCCTCCCCTCATGCGAAGGATCACGAGCAAAGAAGGAATACCAAAAAAAAGAAAAAAAGGAATATGACCATCCACAGCCGAATGTCGCCAAAAGTCTCCGAGAGGCGCGGCTCACGAGCTTCACAGCCATCATCACACGTGGGAAAACCCCCCTCCTCAGTCCATGCAATGTAGCCAGTCTGCCTGTCTATCCCATTGAAAGAATTCGAGACGATCATCATCTGAGCTTCTGTATTCCAGAATAACGATACCCCTAGACCAGGTCAATATGCCTGTTGTTCCGGTTGCCTCCCCTTGCCTCGGGACCAAAGTAAAGAACCCAAAGAGATGGTTCACTCTCCAACAAGAACCAACATCAAACGTGTGAACCTGCATGCCACCACCGCCGCCCCCTCTCTCGCTTACACCTTGGCCCACATGTTGTCATGAGAAGAGGGGGGGGGGGGGACCAACTTCATTCTATGAATGGATGACGATGACTGTAAGAGTTCATTACATACTTCATTGCATAACATGCAGATGACAAAGGATAGAAGCAGAAGAAACTGCACGTGGGCTCAACGATACGAATAACCTGATCATTGCTCTTTGAGCTATAACGCAACGCCTTTCCTCACTTTCATAGGTTGTCTTGGCCTTCTACTCTACCTGGGCAACAGTCGCCCGTCATCATACACAATATCAAAGAAGTCTCACAAAGGCTATCGGGCCAACACATCACATATGCATATCAAATATGGACTTGACTTTTGGAAAAAAGCTTCGATTTGCCGACCATCGACCATATGTTCTCTCTATGATTGAACCGCCATACTGTGTGCCTTTTACGCCCCCGCCATAAACCGGAGCCAGAAAAATGTGTTGTGTTTGTTGTGTTGTGTGTTCTGCAAACTTGCCAAGCTTTCTTTGGCCATACGCCAGACCCTGTTGCACGTCTCTAAAGGGATTTACATCGTAACAATTGAAGGAGCACACCCTTCCTCATGTCAATTTTCATGTCTCTCGTTCATTCCCCCTCTCCTTCCCTCCCAATCACTCGTCCACTCATGAGCGTATGGTCTATGCTCTAACAGAGTGGCCGTTGGTGCCGTTGACACCATCAATCACCTTTCTCTTCTTCGACTCGGGAGTAGGCGGTGAGTCGGCCACGGGCTCCTGGTCCGCAGAGACATCCAGTCCCTGGACGACAGGGAAAGGCGTGAGAACGGAGGTGATGTCACCCCACCACTCCTCGCCGAATTGGCGGTACCAGTTGACAGTGATACGCAGGCCGTCGGCGAAGCTCGTCTTCTGGTCCCAGCCGAGCTGGCGCAGCTTGGTGCCGTCGACGGCGTAGCGGTGGTCGTTGAAGGGACGGTCGTGTGTGTACTTAACCCACTTCTTGAACTCGTCCGTCGTAGAGAAGGGGATCTTCATCTCCTTGAGGAGATGGCTGCAGAGGTCAATGTTGGAGATCTCGTCGTAGGATCCGACGTTGTAGATTTGACCCATCTGGCCCTTGTGGAGGATGGTGTCAAATGCATCGGCCGCGTCGCCAGCAAACAGGTAGCGACGGGTGGGGCTTCCGTCGCCGTGGAGGACGACGGGCTGGCCTCTGTTCAGCAAACAACTGAACTTGGGAATAATTTCTGAGCGAGTTGGTCAGCTATCATTCGATAGGTATTCAAGTATTTTGATGACATACTCTCGGGGAACTGGTGCGGTCCGTAAACGTTGTTACTGCGCACGATGATAACGGGGAGCTTGAAGCTCTTCTGGTAGGACTGGACAAGCATCTCGGCGGCAGCCTTGGAGGCAGCATAAGGGTTCGTGGGTGCGAGGATGCTGGTCTCGAGGAGGTCGTCATCGTCATCGTTCACCTCGCCATAGACCTCATCAGTAGAGATGTGAATGAAGCGCTTGATGTTGACGCTCTTGGCGCTCTCAAGCAGAACGTGGGTGCCGTACACGTTGGTGTGAGTGAATCCATATGAGTTACCGAAACTCAAATCGACGTGTGATTGGGCGGCAAAGTGGAAGACGGTATCAATGTTGTACCGCTTCAGGCAGTGAAGGACTTCTGTGGGGTTGGTGATGTCGCCGTGGACAAAGGTGAAGTTTGACTTCTCATTCAGAACCCGAGTGTTGTTCAGTGATGAGCAGTAATCCAGCTTGTCGAATGAGATGATGTTGTATGCGTCGGGGTAAGTGAGAGTGAGATGACGGACGAGCCAGCATGCGCTTGAGGTATTTTGTTAGCTTGCGGTCAAACCGCAGTGCCAAGACCGCGACTTACATGAAGCCTGCGCCGCCAGTAATCATGATGTTCTTGACATCGGGAAGAGGCTCAAACTTGGTGGTACCCTTGAGCAAGGGCGCCTCCTTCCAAATACCTCCATCCTGGAAGAACTTGCCGTGACCATTGCTGTAGGCTTGGATTGAGGGTTAGCAACCACGGATGGTGATAAGGGTTGATAAGGACGATTTCCAACGTACTGCTCGGCGCGCGGTTCTGGCCGTTGAGTTGAGTCATTTCGACGGTCGGAACGGTATCTCTGTTGTAAATTGGCGTGTCGTTTGGTTGTGTGCGTGTGAGAGAGGTTGAGGAAAGTCGTGCGGACTGGTCGGTGTCGGGAGCTCGAAGAGAGTTTAAGGTTCGGGTTCGATTGCGAGTCAGGCTTGTGCGAGGTTGAAGTACAAGTAGGGAAAGCCAGCTGGGCTTTCAAGGGAGAGAGTATGTGGCCCTAAAAGTGAGTTTAGCTGGATGCCCACACGCAAGACACGCTCATGTCGGGCAATTAATCTTACCTCAGATATGGGATATCCCTATCACGTCTAAATCGAGGCCATTGGCGATCTGTGCCCTGTTCTGTCTCACTCACACCACCCCGAGTCGCGCGCAACTGAGGCAAGGGAGGCCGAACGTGGTCCGCGGTGGTTGAAGGATGGATGGTTCGTTAGTGAGAGCCAAGCGGAGTGGCTATGGCGAATCAGTCGTATTGACAGCGCGAAAAAGTAGTGGTAGTAGCTAGTAGTGAGAAATATTGGCAGGAGCAAGTGAGTGGGCAGGACCGGCGGTGATAGGTATGAGGGAGAGAGAGAATTCAAGGAGTTCTGTCAGCCCAATTTTTTGTGGTTAGTCGCTTGTCGTTCCGTCTCACGAGATGATGGATGCAGTAGGCTGAGATGAGCAGTGGCACGGAGGTCTGGAGGGCGAGAACTGGATACCTGCCACCTTTAAAAAGTCTGTGGCAGAGTGACAGCCAGAGTTCAGATAGCTTCGGCAAGGTGCATATGGAACCGTCGTAGGCGTTCAAATGAGATGGTGTGCGTAGGCTGTAAGAGGCATCCCAAGTTGAGGCGGTCGGTGGACAGCAGATCAGCAAGGGCCGAGATGATTGGCGTAAGCTCGACTGGGGAACGAGCATAGACGACCAGGTACAGGGCGGGTATCCGTAGCTCCAGGATAGAATCAAGTACCGGCCCGAGCTGCGGCGAGTACTTGGCAACGTGTCTCTCGACGTCTGTCCGTCGCTAATTAAGAGACTTGAGAGAGGGATTCAGGTTATTCGTACGCAACGGGATCAGAGTAGCTTGGATCATGTATAGAGTACAGCGGGACATGTAGGTAGGTCAGCTAATTAGCTGGGTTCTCTCTCTCTATCTCACTCAGATTTTGGTTAGCAGCTGTGGATGTGGCTTCCTTGCGATTACGACTGCAGCCACGGTCGTCGCTCCGATTGAGTGTGGGTGCTTGGCTGATGTTTTGGGGACAATCTCATGGATGCCGATCTAGCCCGGTGTGGGAGAAAGTGGATGGTGCGATGGCTACTTGCTGCTGCCGGCCTGCTGCCCTCGAAGCAGGTGCTACGGTAACTGGTGGGAAAGGAACAGTTTGACCGTACTTAGGTACTAGACAAGTGCAGTATAACAAGTGCGATGAGAATGGGATCGCAAATAATAGTTGTGACATCCGTAATGTGGTACGGAGGAGCGAGACTGAGAGGTGGATGGTGGGGGTGGACACCAAGAGGGTCTTGGCTGGGAAGCAACATCTTGAAACATGACGCTTGCCTGTGTTTGCAAAGTATCTGTACTTTGCACCCGTACTCTCAATCTCTTCCATCACTCTCGATTCCTCAGTATTATACCTACGTCAGCCACTGCCCACTGACTATCGCAGCAGCTTACCTACTACCTATGCGAACAGCGAGGTATATGTGCTTGCTTTTTCCTCGAGCACCTGCGTGATTAGTGCGAACCGGGGACTTTCCAAGGGAACCCTGGCATGGCATCCAGGCACAGGCTGCGTCCACGACAACTTTCTCAGGCTCTCCCGCCGCGGCCCCTCGCGATGTCCCAAAAATAAAATACAGCTCCAGTCTCCCGGCAGTACGCACACGGCGCAGTTTTGTCCGGAGCTTGCAGACACCCGGCCGGCAAAAGCTTGTATTTGAACGGCGTATCTAGACGTGTCAGAACGGGCGATTTCGAGTATCGATCACCGGGGGATGTGCCTTACATAATACACTCACCATAGGGAGTTGACGGATCATGTGATGATGGGATACGTACGGGAAGGCATCAAGACTCGAGAGCCGATTGGCAGCGAGTTGAACCGGACAAGTAACGGTACGTATTTGCTTTCTGACGTCCAAGGCGACAGGTACTTTCCCGGTACCCATACCCTTACCCTCTGCTTCCCTTCCCAACACCTTTCCCTCCCAAAAACCCAATCCATACCCAGCCGGAGCCGCTCTTTTCATGAGATGCCGTGCAGCAACTTGACAGATGCAACCCCAATTTAAACGAGACTTCCCAATGGAATGGGACCCCTTCTTTCCGCGCAAGCTAATGGAAACTAGGGAGAGCGACTACGTACGTCCAAGACACCGCTTTCCACGGGTATCATGGCGGCACGGCCGACCACGAGGCGTCGAGACTGAATAGTTTGTCAACTAGCCACAGATAGACCAGTGCCCTGAGATTCCCAGCCCGTCCCAGTCTCAGCTGGCTTCTCAGCCGTGGCCGCCGTGGGCGGGGGACCATTCCACAAACGCCTCCAGACCGGCCGCTAGTTCCTTTTCAGCCTATTGTCTGACAATACGCTGTTCTTGCTTCTGCGCCTAGAGGGATGGGGCTCGCAACCAATCTCTTCATCACTTTCTTGGCCTCCTTACCTCCGTGATACTTTGGGCTCTTTTCGTTCATCAGGGAGAAAGCAGGGGTAGCAGGGGCAAATAAACAATAAGAAGAATGTCAGGGGCTAAGAAGCGCTGGAATGTCCAACATGCCCACGTTCAGTAAGGTCTACACAGTAGAACGATTTCGCACCTTTTGCAACCCTGGCTCCAAGTACTTACACTTTGACTCCATCACACCGCCAAGACCTAGATGTAGCTGTCTGCTCATCGAGCTCCGTCCCCGGCCACACCTTCCAGTGAGAGTCGAGGAGCTTCGAGTTAGTCTGCGAGTAAACACGACAGCAAGAAACATGCTCGTGAACCGGCCCGTGACGGACGCCACAGATGCAGTCATCCAATGCTGTAAACATCCGATACGAGCCACTCTAGGGCCGACGTTCACGGATAGACTGACGAATGTGTCTCCGGCTCATGATGCTCCATTGGCTGACGGACGATGGCGACAGCGGAGCGTGCTAAGCCGGCTTCTCCCACTCGCCCGGCTCCTCGAACGTGGAGCCGTGATGGGCAAAGGCAACACCAGCTCCGGCGCCAGCGGGCGCCGTCGATGCTGGGGAGGCCGGGCGCGCGTCCCTGGTGGCTTGCAATGGGCCCTGTGGGGTGGCAGACGCGCAAGAATGTGGTGCTCATCTTTCCCATCCTCCCCCTCATGCCACGAATCGACCAAAGCACCATGGTAGACCACATTGCCTCAGGGTCTCTCTGGGGAATGCTGAAACGCTCGAGGATGACTTATCGGAGGGAGGAGACAATAGTAGTCAACACCAGACTGGCATGGAGTGGACGGTAGCCAGATTCCACGCAATCGCTGACATGTTCATCGCGAGGGATGTTGAGCAAGATGAGCCGACGACAGATGGCCCCCAAGTCAAGCGAGCGGCCTACGCCGTACAAGGCCAACTAATTTTGGCGTCCAAGGGAGCCGGCAAGACCATGGAACCCCCGTTCCTCCCGGCTGTGCGGACTCGACTTGCATGCTTGCGTCTTCAGATGAGATTGGCGCAGGGGCAGTGACGATCATGGATCAGGACCATGGACGGCATTTCCAGCGACAGATGCCAGGCACTGCAGTAACTGCACGCTGCTGCCCAGCCAAAACACATGACTTGCTGTCGGCTCGTTTCAAACCCCCCATGTCCTAGACATTTCAGAGTCTCGTCAACGGTTGGCCGCGCCAGAATTTGCGGGAAACGGTGGAGTAATCCGACAGACGAACGGCAGAAGATGCCGTTGCGTTGCGGCACATTGTATGCTGTTCATGCTGAAGGACCGCTGGAATGAGCTGCGACAGCGGCCAAGACATGGTGCATTCCTTCAGACGTCGAGAGATATTGGCGACAAGGAGCGAGGCTGGAAGTAGGCCACTTGGCAGCATTGGCGGAGGTTCGTACTGTGACTCTAATGTCTCAGGGAGTAAACTTTCCAATCTAGGCGTTAATTGTTCTACTAAACTCTATCCGCGAGAATTTTTGACAGCTGGACAATTGGTTCAAGTCGATGGAGCAAGACGACCCAGAAGGAACCGAGCGAACCGGCGCAACCATGGGAACAGCGCCGTGTGTCCCTCAAGAGCAGCCGCCATCCCAGGGGGAAGCTCCGTCGAAACCCTCTCTGTGTCAAGGCCATTGCCCACGGTCCACACGGTGACGCGTGTGCGAATTGGATCGGATCACAGAAAGTTCACGCTGGGATGCCGGCGAGAGCGAGAGTGCAGACAATTAGACAAAGTTGGGGCGGCTGTCGGAGAGAGTTGGGCGCATATCGGGCTGTCCGTTACTTCTTGAGCTGCTCGCGGAGGATGGCTTGTCGACCTGCTTGATCAAACGACTTGATGCAGAATATGAGGCTGCGTTCGTTCTTGCTCGAAGCATCGGCACCAGGTGCAACGAGCGATCGCCGGGTGAAGAACAGTAAGATCTCGTGTTCCTATTTGCCCTAGGTGTCAAGAACACTGACGACGGGACCCGACTGGAGCGAAGCTAACGTCGAGATCGAGTGCGAGTGTGCTGCATACGGCGGGTTTGGTGCCATGCTGTGGTGTTGCAGATGTGACGGATACGACGGGTGAAGAGAGACTTGCAGATTGTCGAGTCGGGTCTAATTGGATCTTGAGCGGGGCTGAAGCTTACGAAGTATTAGTGGCTTGGCGCTAACTTACGTGGTGTGGACCACAACATGTACTCGTACGGATACCTACACAATGTGCGCTACAAGACTCTGTTTTGGGGAAGAGAAGGAAAGCCACCGTGGCAGATGAGGGCGAGGCAGGCAGGCAGGCAGGCAGAAAAAGTTAGAGAGAGACAGACCAGAAAAGAAAGGCGGTCTCCAGAAAACAGCTCCCGTCCAGTTCGAGGAACCCGTGGGCTTGCGTCCGGTTGGATTGGTGGCTTTTGATGCAGCCATCTCGATCTGCAGGTGTTTTTCTATGTCT